AAAACCTCTGGTCAACAAGGGACTGCTTTTCCCGAGACAAAGCACAAAGATGATCTGTGTCCAGATGGTTATAGGAGAGCCGCTCCGTTTTGTTTGATTTAACAGTGTAAAACAGCCAATAAAGTGGGAGCACTGAGGCCTGCAGTGAAGCAGCCATAACTGTCCCTCCCACCGAGAGAGGAGAAAGGGGTGGGGGTGGGAATGCCTAACAAACACCCCTCTGTGAGTCCCCCCCCTTTGCTTCACCACCATCCCCCCCTTTGACCCCCCAACTGTGACCTTTGGCCGTTGACCTGCAGCAAGGCCACAGCTGCCGAGAAAAGAAAAATATAAAGCTCTCATTCTGCGGCCTCGGACCGACCGAATCCCAACCGAACGCCATGTGAGGCTGTGGGAACGCCATCAACACTGGAGTCAAACATGTGTCGATATTAGCTCAACTAAACACAGAAAAAGAGGTAGGGGAAAGAAAAAGGGGCTCTTACCCAACACGGTGAGAGTGGCGTTGGCGGAGACGGTGCCGGCCGTGTTCTTGGCGGTGCAGCTGTACACGCCCATGTCCTCCGGCTTCACGTCCATGATGAAGAACACGTCGTCGTCGGGCATCACGTGCATTCGGCGCTCCCGGGCGGCGGGGAAGTCCGTGCCGCCGTCTTTCTGCCAGGCGATCTGCGGCGTCGGGTGGCCCTCTGCGGCGCACTCCAGCCTCGCCGTGTGGCCCGTCCGGATGGTGCTGTCCCGGGGCGTCTTCATGAAGGACGGGAGGACTGTGGGCAGAAGAGACGTGTCAGGATCCGGCTGTGTGAAAACATCTCCAACAGAAACTGTGTTTTTAGTTCAGAAGCCATTCCCTCATTCCTAGTTCTACACTTTCACACCTGCAGTTATTTTGCGTTAAGAACCTTCACAGCTGTCGTTCGGGATTACAGAGCATTACAAACTCTTCACACTTCAACCCACGCATTCACAGCTGGTGCTGGCATCTGAACGTCTGAGCACAAGGTCCTGAACCTACTTGACTGTTACATGTATGACGTGTACGCCACAGCAAGAAACCACTAACGCTAATTCTGCCATTTCACTTCAAAGCTAAGATTCAGATCCAGGATCTCCACATGAATACCCTCCACTCGAAAAGCTGAGTGACAGAGTGCAGAAGAGCTGGCCACTGTTAGCCGCTGACATGCAGATAAATCTATTTGTTCCGAATACCATCCTGGGAGAGAAGGAGGCCGAGCAAGAAAGAGAAGACTTTATTCAATGGAAGGAGAAATAACTCAGCATGGCCACTAATCTCAACCTCCGCTGTCAAACTCAGATTAGTGTAACGTAAACAGGCATTTCATTCGGTGGAAATGATGTAATCACACACACACATATCAACAGGGAAGTTGGAGGGTTCTTTTCTCTCTTTCTTGTCTTAGCTTAGCTTAGCTTAGCTTAGCATGATGCTGGACCTCCAATATTCCTCTTGCTCACGCCTATTTAATGCTTTGATACAACCTTTTGTTTAAGAAACCTACCGTTGACGACGAGGCGGGCCTTGGTGGAGTAGGTGGAGCCGAAGTGGTTGGTGATGATGCACTGGTAGCGGCCCTCGTGGGCGAAGGTGACGTGCCGCAGGTGCAGGATGGTGGTGTACTCCATCACGTCTCCGTTTGCACTCGGCACGTCGGACGTTGTGCCTTGGTGATGAGCGCGCACGTGGGCGTAGTTCTCCGTCTCGGCGTGGCGAAGCAGCTCCTGGTCCTTACGCCAGGCGAAGGTCATGGGGGAGGTGCTGCTGCTCGCCGCCGTGCACGTGAGACGCACGTCGCTGCCGAGGACCGTCACGGAGGTCTCCGGCTGCACCGTGATCTGGGGCTTTGGGAGGTCGTCTGAAGGGGGACGGATAGAAATGAGTTAAGAGTTAGAAGAGATCAAGCGTAAGATGGAGAGTCAGAAGAGTAGACTCGGAGTGAGGACAGTCATTTGAGGGACGAAGACAAAGTGCATTGGAAGCATCACAGTGGAAAAGTCCCTCAGCAGTAGGTGTCTGCTTGCTATGCTTAAACGGACTAAAAGAGGCTAATAAAAAACACATAAGGATCCATTAGCAAGAGTTCCAAAACACCACACAAACAAATATGTGCAACTATGTAAACAACAGAACAGCGCCAAGCTGTTCGCTCGGCCCGCCGCTGCCTCTTTTCACAACACATCCGCCCACATAAACACAGCCAGCAAGCGCTTCACTCACCGCACACGAAGCTGCTGGGCGGAGCCTGGAACACGCTGGTGCCTTTGAGGCTCTCGGGGTGAGCGCAGGAAGCGTTGGCGCCGGCCGTCAGACCGCGGGTCACCAGCCAGTCGGGCAGCCATTGGAGCTGGCAGTCACACAGGAAGCTGTCGCTCTGGATGATACTGCAGAGGAGTGTGTGTGTTATATATCACGTCTATTGCACCTGTAACTGATATGTGTTCCTGACGCCAAAAAGCACCGAGGGAATGAGTTTGAAGCTTCAAGTTCCTGCATGTATGAGACTTCTGATGTGTATTTGTTTGAATGCATCGACAGAACTCACAGTGTTCTGAGGTTCTTCATTTTGCTGAAGGCGTCGGGCTGGATGGAACGGATAGCATTCTCCCCCAAGTTCCTGTTGGGACATTACACAGCGTCTCATCCACTGTGTTCACATTACACAGCGTCTCATCCACTGTGTTCACATTACACAGCGTCTCATCCACTGTGTTCACATTACACAGCGTCTCATCCACTGTATTCACATTACAGCAGCTCTCATTAGCGAGGATCTGACTCGAGGCCCGTGTATCTGAGGATACATGCCAGCTTTTCCTTCCCTCCCTGCCCTGGTTTGACATGAGGCCTGTGAAAGAGCTTATATGAATTCCATTTCTTCTGCGGATCTGGCCACATGCTCAATAACTTTGTTCCTGAGCTAGGCTAACTAGAGCGAGGCAGCTGGGCGTCGCAAAAGCCTCTGTCTTCTCCTTTTACAAAGACGCTATTAAATTGCTAGCGGCCTGCTCTCTGCCAGCTACTTTTGGCAATCCCTGTACCCTCCCCCCACCTCCACCACCACCACCCCGACACTGCACCCTCTCCTCCTTACTTTCTCTCTCTGGCTTTGGGAGGAGGGGCAGAAAAGCATTGTGGGATACTCACAGGTGTTCCAGGGTCTCCAAGCCAGAGAAGGCTTTCTTGGCCACCGACTTGATCTTGTTTCCAAACAGAGTCCTGCCGTTTCCAAACATGAAGGGAGAGAAA